GACATCCTTCAGCACCGCGCAGACAGAGCAATCATGGAATGCCACAAACAAATGTGGGGCTGCATTCAAGAGACATGTCAACCAGCCCCACTTCCACCCCCACACACACACACACACACACACACACACACACACACACACACACACACACACACACACACACACACACACACACACACACACACACACACACACACACACACACACACACACACACACACACACAAATGAAAGAGTCTAATCTTCTAGCTTTCGTTTTTCTATCTGATGATGGAACAGATCTGTAAGTTTCCTGGACAGTGTCCATTTTCCATCCTGCATGGTAAAGGTCTTTCAGTAGAGCAGAACTGTTTCACTGGAGCAATAAAGATGTTCTTTCACTAACTGGCATACGGAGGCGTGCCAAAACCTCGTCTTTTCTTGCATCTATAGAGCTGACTGCAACACGAACACTTTGTTTGTATAGGCGGCACAGGTAGCTGTATTTGATAGGATCATTTAAAATGATGTTGTAATCATTAAGCTCTGTAATTGAACATATTTAGATACCTTAGGTTCTAAACAGCAGCTTTAACTAAATCAAACATGTTTTTATAATTTAATCTGATCAACTTTCTTCACTGGCCTATTAAGCCTTACATAATTTGTAACAACATGAAATATGGAGAAAAAAAACATGAGTGAAAAGTGAATGCTTACATTTCTTAACTCCATAAATTAAGCACAATAACATGCTAACATTTCCCTAAAAGCTGATATGGTTTCATAAAGTTATTACAAATCATGCTAAGGGTGACATGAATGTCTGTAAAATGCTCTATGGCAATCTATTTAATAGACCAATGGGCTAACCAACAACTATAGCAAGGTTAAAAGATAAGACAGATTCCCACTAAGAGCTATAAAAACCTAAGCTAACGTAATCTGCTGTACTTTGCAAAACAACTTTTGAAGCTTAGTCTTTATGCTTCGTTCCTTCACAATAATTTTTCTCTCACTGTTCCTATTAATGTTCAAAAGATTACGTTTCACATTTTAGTTCAACCAAACCTTTTTTTCTGCAATGTCTATCAGCCATGTTGCTGCTTCAAAACTATAAATTGGATCTCCCCTCTGCCATCAATTCAGGCGAAATTGTCCTCCACCCCATTCAATTCCAGTCCATCAAACAGAGTGCTCAGGTTGAGCTCATCAGAAGACCATTCATCATGACATCAGGATCTTCAACATGTCCTTCTTCCCATCGCTACTACCAGTGTCTAGACTCTATTGACTGGTGTTCTACCGCTTCACTACCCCCTTAAAACATATAACGACACGACGGGGTATAATCGCTATGACTTTTCCCAGAGACACTTTAGACTCTCTACATACATACATACAATGTTACTGCCTGCAATATAATTCATATGCCTCTATCCCAACCGATAAAGCAAATCCAAATGACATTTATATTTTATTTTGCAACATATTGAAAATATCAAGCCCAAATGAATCCACCCAGCCAAGCATTCACCAAGGAGGAAGTACTCACTCCAAGTGTTGAACATTGTGGAGGACTTGCCAAGCACTTGAAGCAACGTGCATCAAATATTTTTTAGTAGCCTACATCTATTAGCGGCTAAGTCTATACTTCAAAAGAAAACGTTGACCGCTCTTACTCCAAGTTCTGATTAGGCAGTTTTTCTTCTGCTTTGTCAGCCATCTTGTCAGTCAGACCCTTCCCTTCTAATGACTGCTGTCAGTCAGGGATGTAACTGTCAAACCGAGTCAATGGCTGCACTTCCCACTCCCATGATTGGATAATGAGCTGTGTGCATCAACACATTAAGCCATTTTCAGTGCAAATGTCAGCAGAATGAAAAGCTCACAAAATATGTTCCTGTGTCATTGTGCATAACATTTCAGCAAAATGGACTCTATAGAACTTTAGATGACAATGGATTCAACACTGGTTTCTTATTCAGGAGGAGAAGAAGGAGTTGAATTAGAGAGGAGGGTTGACCGGAGAACAGCGAGGCAGTAACAGCAGCAATGGGGAAATTATGCCCTATTTTGCATAAGGGAGGAGAGGAGGTGGAGGAGGGGGAGGGGTGAGAAGGAAGGAGAAGATGTCTTCAGACGTGGCAGTTGTGATGAAAAGAGAGGCGAACGACTGAAGACAAGAGGTGGAGAAGAGAGGAAGAGGAAAGAGGTGGGGCGTGTGTGCATTATTCATCCCTGCTGACACATCAGAATCTCTGATTCATCTGGAGAAGGGCATCAGTCAAGTCACAACCTATCACTTTGCCTTCACTCATATGCACTCATATGCACACACAGAAACACGGACACACCATCAACACACGCACACACATTTGCAAATGACCTCCCTGTGACTTGAGATTGTCAACAACAGACTGGGATTGATCTCTGCACAACAAGGTTATCAGTTTAATATTTCAATGGAAATATATATGAACTATATAGAGCTAAGGGAAACAAACCAGTACAAATAGGCTAAGAGGTAGACTTTTACAAACATGGTATTTAGAATATTATTGAAATAATTTTCACATAACTGAAATGTATATTTTAAAAAACGTTGTTATCTTTATTATTATCTTTGCCAAACAAACTGAAATTCAATGTTAAGAACATTTAGAATGTTTTTACACCATTTTTAATGGATATGGCATATGGCTTTGTGTAATTGTTGTAAATTGACTGTATGTTTTCCCATATCAAATTATAGATTGGTTCCTGTTTAACGTTGATAAATTAAATATACTCGGAATCATTCATTTAGCTACCAAAATTTGGAAAAACGAATAAAACTGAACATTCTATTTACATAAAATGTCATTAAAAGTCCAAAAACATTTACTGGTGGTGTATTTCCTCATTAAGGATAATGAATCTCCAGAGTCCTTTGGTTCAAATTGTATTTGGATCAAAGTTTTAAGCAATCAAAAAATATATATTTCAGTATCTTCACGAGTATTTCTCCTTTTTTTGACCCGCTGTTTTAATAATTAACTGTATTGCCCAGTGCTAATGGGTTCCTTCTGCATGCTGTATGACTTGTTTTCAGCAGCTCCTGAATAAACAAGTACAGAAGCGCAGCAGACAGTAGCTCTCTGTTTGGAAGGCTTTAAAAAAGGTCAATTAATATCAATGCCTAGACAACAACAACTTTCTGTCTGCTTGTAATACAGGTGGCTACGCTCGCCGCATCAAAGCCTCCTTCTTTCCAGCTGACTGGTGCAACATAGCTAATGGGGAGTGTACACAGAGATTCTGACAAAAACCATGGATGGGCATAACACGAAACACAAGAGAGGAAAGTAAAGAGCAGAGCTGTTAAGGCTAATGCTGCTGCGAGGATCAGGGAATAAGACTTCAATAAGGCCTTTGACGTGAAACCAAAGCTGCTCCACTGGGAGCGCACGTCTTTTGGCATGTTGAATTCAATTCTGGGTGGATCTCAGCAGTGGTATCTGCTTAAGAGGCGCTGGAAACCATTGAGACCCATGGTTGAACCCTGTGAAAAGCTATTTAAGAGAGTACATGGCATCACACATTTCATAAGCCACTGCTCCTAAAAGTGCCTAATACCTGTGGGGCCGAGCATCTCATGGCTCAGGAAAGAGCCTATTTGATGTGTTTCTCAGAGACTAACAGAGGAAATATGCCAGTTGAGTTATTCTACCTCCACATAGTGACGTTTCCCTGTCATAATACCTTTATCCCCGACCCCGGTCTTCAGATGAAGGTGGTTAGGCAGGGGGAATGTGAAAATACAGAGGAAAAAATATGTAAACTGCTAAAAAGAGGAATCCAAGTGTAAAAATGACTGATTCAAATAATTAGGGATGTGGAAATGGTCTGGAACAATAACCAGCAAATGCATGGTGCCCCAGGGAAAATCTCCCATCTGTGTGTGAGGAGGAAGACCTCCCTCAGATTCACCACGACAGTGGATGTTCCAGTTTACACAGGCCACGCAGCGGAAATACAGAAAACCTAAACAGGCATTTGAAGTGTACATGATTAAATCCCAACAAGCAATAGCCCTCGGAAAATGTGTCAGGATGAATCGATGTATCATTCAATTACACTCAGCCTGTACGCTTGAGTGGCTGATTTAACTGCAAATCCTATGCGTATAATTATAGACATATGAAAGGTCTATGGACTACAAAACAAATCTGCCTATATGTGCAGATGGGATTGTTTTAAGTAAAGCCTGGGAGTAGCAGATGCAGCAGATACTCTATTGTCTAGAAAACAGTCTTGTTTAATTAAATCCATTTGCTTTGCCACCTGGCACCTTCCAGAAGAAAAATCTCTCTTAAATTAGAATAATATCCTTTATGGATTAGTAATATGCATTTGATTGCCCCCTCAAAAGTGACATTACATTAGCATAATGGGATTTCTACTAATCTTAACATCTTTACAATAATACCAGGACTTCCGCTTTTTAAATACCCTTGACAATCTATAGGCTGCAGGTGCTGTATTTATTTATTCATGAGGGTTTTGGTCCACAATGTTTTTATCTGTATTGTCTTTTTTTTGTTTTACTTAAATCGGATTTAACACCAGACTCATACATGGAGAGTGCTTTAAAAAGGGCAACTAGAAAATAAGCCACTTTAAACGAGAGTGGATGAGGAACAAAGGCTTTGCCAGTCTGCCCCGGTCCCTCATGCTGCCCAGCCAACAATAAGGAGGGGGGTGAGGGGGGGGCGCGAACTCACAGCGGTGATGCCAAGCAGCCTGCTCTGCACAACCCCTCGGTCTGATATCACCCAAAACTCCCCAGTGATCCTGACATGAAAAAAACAAAAACAAAGAAGAATCCGGGTCACCCTTAGCATGGCTTAACGTTGAAATTTCACCCGGGCAGGCATATACAATTAACTCCTTATAGTTTCCAAAAAGGATATTCGACAAGTGCAAATACCCCGCCTGGGTGGGGTAACATTAAACAGATGAGGAAAGATGCTGGTTACCTGGGTAGGAAGTGCTCCGTCTTCTTTACTGTCTGGTAGATTCATGTGGGTGGATTTGCAGCTGGAAGCTTCCTCGGAAACAGCAAGGATGAATGTAATCCGTCGGCAGCGGAGCTCCAGTCACAGAAAGGTCTGCCTTTGTGGGGGATGCATGCACACATCGCCGGTGTTTCTCTCCTCACCGTGCTGGCTGTCGACAGAGCTCTCGAAAACGCAGCGGGTCACGGGCTGCTCCTCAGCCCTTTTTGTCGGGAGAGCATTGCCGGTCAAGCGGCCTCAGATACTGCTGGTTGATGTCATTGATACTCCCTGCCTTCTTGCTTAATGCCCTCCTCCTTCCCTCATGTCCTCTCCTCCCCCTCC